GCGCCGGCCCCGCGCCCCTCCCGCCGCAGCCGCCGGTGAGTGCAGGCAGCCCTAAGAGCGCAGGGCGGATGCGCGGCGGTTCCCACTCTTGCGGGCTTCCCTTCCCCCGACTCTGGTGCTCCGACTGTACAGCCGCTGCGCCCCGAGTCGCGGCTCTGCGTACCCATGCGTCCCGCTGCGGGTGCGGGTCCAAGCTGTGCCACGACCCCTAAGCCCCAGAGAGGAGAGACGACGGCGGGCTCGACTCGCAGGTGACCTGGGGGCTGCTGCCCTGAACTGCAGTAACCCACTCGGCCCGCCCTCTTGCTCCGCCGCTTCTTCCCCTTTTTTTTGTCTAGAGCTCCAGCCTCGCCACCATGAGAGTCCTGCTGGTGTGCCTGCTCCTTTGTGCCCTGGTCGTGAGCAATTCCAAAGTGAGTGTCTTCTCCGTTTTGATTTATGGTGGCGGGAAGGGGCTTGCAAGACCCCTGAACAGCGCCAGGGGAAGAAAGGGACTGCATAGAGAGCTGGAGTCTTGGATTCCATCAATAGCAGGGCTAGACTCTCCAGGGAAATAGGGCAGGTGTGGCAGTGGGGCATTGAGAACCAAGGGAGTTCACACTTGCGGCAGGGGAGGAAGAAGCCCCTGGGACTGGCCCAGCCTGCTGGCACCTGGTATGGAAAGCTTGCTTGAGTCAAGCTATTTCTCCTTGCTGGAAACCTATGATCTTCCGTTTGCGGGCTAGTTAGATATGAACATGATGAAGAGAAAGGGAGCTGGAGTAAAGGATGAGTTTTGGGATTGGGGCCAGTTTATCCTCACCCTGGAGTCCCAGGAGCATGGGACCTTTGATGAATTTTCCCTCTCCTCTTGTCTTTTCCAGGGAAGCCATGACTTTCATCGAGTGTCTGGTGCAAGTGAGTATTCACCCCTTGCACAATATCTGGCTGCACAGACATCTTGTAAAAGCCTCAGGAGGCAGCCCTTCCCTGTGCCTGCTCCCCCCTTGCCTCCTCCCATGGCCCTTGCTTACCCCTCCCCCACCTTTGTGCTTTTCAGAGAACTGTGGCTGTCTGAATGGAGGAACATGTGTGTCCTACAAGTACTTCTCCAACATTCAGCGATGCAATTGCCCAAAGAAATTCCAAGGGGAGCACTGTGAAATAGGTACGGGGATCCTACTCTAACCAGGAGGAGGGCACACCAGAAATTTGGGGGCAGGGAGAGAAAAGTGGGATGCAAGGGCATGTAGGAATGAAGAATTAAAAGTAGAGTGAGAAACATCTTCATCCCCATGTGATGCACACAGTCAAACATAAACACACACATTGTCTCGTGAAGCTGTGGCTGCACAAATGTGTGGTGGGATGGAAGGAGACCCTTTCTAGTGTCTTCTGCCAGGCCTGAAGTCATATGAGGTCTGGCAAGATCTCTAAAATGCTTGTCTGAACTTTCTTCTCTTTCTAATATTCTCTCATCTTCACAATCTTCCACAGATACATCGAAAACCTGCTATCAGGGGAATGGTCACTCTTACCGAGGGAAGGCCAACACCGACTTCATGGGCCGGCCCTGCCTGGCCTGGAACTCTGCCAACGTCCTTCTGAAAACGTACCACGCCCAAAGACCTGATGCTCTTCAGCTGGGCCTGGGGAAACACAATTACTGCAGGTGAGGTGGGGGCAGCAAGGACCTTCCCATGGCCTCATAGAAGCCCTTATTGCCATTCTCTTCTACTTCCAGAGTGCTGACCATAGCACAAGAAAAGCAAGGCCTCTGGTTGAGTCTGCCTTGGTGGGAGAGGATGCAAGAAATGCATTTAGTGTTGAAATAACAACCCCTCCCCTCTATGTTGCCAGGAACCCAGACAACCAGAGAAGGCCCTGGTGCTACGTGCAGGTTGGCTTTAAACAGCTTGTCCAAGAGTGCATGGTGAACGACTGCTCTTTTGGTGAGTGTCACTGACCTGTGTATGATGGTGGGTAGAAGGGGACAAACTCATATGTCCTTTTATTCCATCACAGAAAGGATGAGAAAGGAGGCCTGTCTGGTCCCCCAAAACTGGGAGGTCAGAGAAAAAGAGAAGGGATACTTTATCCTACCTGCCACCCTACAACATCCCTCTCTTTCTCCTCCAGGAAAAAAACTCTTTCCTCCTCCTGGAAAAGCAGAGTTTCAGTGTGGCCAGAAGGCTCTGAGGCCCCGCTTTAAGATTATTGGAGGAGAATTTACCACCATTGAGGAACAGCCTTGGTTTGCAGCCATCTATAGGAAGCACCGCGGAGGATCTGTCACCTATGTGTGCGGTGGCAGCCTCATCAGTCCTTGCTGGGTGGTCAGTGCCACGCATTGCTTCATGTACGTTCCTCTGTCTCTTCTCCCTGACCCTCCTGCCCTACCCCAAACACATCCCTTTCTCCTACCTAGCAAAGGATTCCACTTTAATTCCACCCCCTCAGCCCCTCTCCATGTGGTCCATGGCCTTGGGGACAAGTCATGCTCAGAGGTCACTGTGGTGGAGAAGGGGAAGTGACAGGATCTCATGAGATAAGACTGTCTGACAGTAATTACCTTCCCACAGTAATTACCAAAAGAAAGAGGACTACATTGTCTACCTGGGTCGGTCAAGGCTTAACTCCAATACACCTGGAGAGATGAAGTTTGAGGTGGAAAAGCTCATCTTGCATGAGGACTATAGCGCTGACACACTTGCTCACCACAATGATATTGGTGAGTGGGAAACTCTCATCTGCCATCATGATGCTGGCTGGAGGAAGAAGGGTTCAAGAAGAAACTCAAGTGGGAGGTTGAGATTGTAGGGGAACTTGATGACACTACACAACAAAAGGAGAGGTGGGGAAGGGTTTGGAGTGACATACATGAGGAGTCTGGTGCTCCTCTGTAGAGTCCCTGAATTTTCAAACCGGTAGCCTCCTCAGGGTGGCATTGGCCCTATGGGGCAGATGGCTTGGGTTGAAATGCTCCTTCCTTTGTTCGATGTAGACTCTGTCCCAGGATGTAGAACTTAGAGAGCGCATTGGACTAGATTTTAGCCTAGCTACCTCAGCCAGGGCTTCTTGCAGAAAAAAAAAAAAAAAAGTACAGCTGTATGCAGTAGCCCTGGCTGTCCAAGCCTTTGTCAGCAACTGGAACAAAATCCTTGAGGCATAGGACAGGGGAGGCTTGTTTCAGATGACATCCTACCAGAAGACCTCCCAGGATGACTACTGACCCTAACTGACCTAGGGATAGACAGCTGTCTCTCAGCATTTGGAGGGGGAGAGATGGTGACCACCTGACCAGGTGATGATCTTTATCCCCTGACCCCTTCCCCCTCCCCCAGCCTTGCTGAAGATCAGTTCCAACTCAGGCCAGTGTGCACAGCCATCCCGGTCCATACAGACGATCTGCCTCCCCCCAAAGAATGACAATGCTCGTCCTGGCGCAAGCTGTGAGATCACTGGTTTTGGAAAAGAGAATTCCAGTAAGTGGCCTTCGGGGATGGCTGAGAGTGTCCTGGGGGAGGAATGTAACCTGGAAGTGAGCTCAGCTTGATCAAGGGAGCACTGTGGAGGCAGCAGATGGGTCCAGGGATGGAGTGGGGAGCATTGTTTAGGGAATGATGGGCCATAAAGGTAAACAGATGGAGAGTGAGGGACTATAGGTGGGGTAAAAACTCAGATTTAGGTGGAAAAGGAATATGGGCTTTCCCCAGTAGGAATACTTTTTGGTTCTCTTCCTGGTAGTCCCATTGGAAAAGCTGGACAGACATATCTTAATGTAAATTCCTCCACGTTTCTTCCATCTAGCTGACTATCTCTATCCAGAGCAACTGAAAATGACTGTCGTGAAGCTGGTTTCTCACCAGGATTGTCAGCAGCCCCACTACTATGGCTCTGAAGTCACCACCCAAATGCTGTGTGCTGCTGACCCACAGTGGAAAACAGATTCCTGCCAGGTAAGAGTTCTAAGCATCTCTTTCCATTAATCTCAAATCTCCTTAGGGCTCTTGAGCATGTTTCTGCCACTTTGGGGAGTCTCTCTCCAGCCAAAGCCCCAAGAAGCCAGAATCAGAAGCTCAAGTTTTAGAAAGTTTAAACCAATCATTAAGTCTTTGCCAAACATTAGACATGAGCCTATGTCTGTGTTAGGCACTCCAGACTGGGGGAGAGAGGGGGACTAAGAAGAAACAATAGAAAATAATACAACTCAGTGCTCAGGGTGTGGTGCGAATTATGAATGATCAGCTGTATAGGAGAGGGAGGTGAGTGACAACTAGATGATCATGGAGGGGAGGCTTTGAAGAGAATGTGACTCAGTAGGGATTTGAGGAGGCAGAGGGAAGAAAGGAAAGCATTTCAGTTGAAAGATACAAAAATGAGAAAGAGCACGGCATATTCCAGGATGGGAGGAGAAGTAGGGTCTGAAAATGTAAATGGAATAGTTAGTGGCAGATAACAGGGCTTTGAAAGCCAAGCAGAGGATTTTAAACTCGATTGGGTGGTAGGATCAGATAGCCCCCTCCTCACTTCTTGTAGGGCTCACCTTTTGTGTCTTTGGCTTAACAGGGAGACTCGGGGGGACCCCTGGTCTGCTCCATCCATGGCCGCCTGACTTTGACTGGGATTGTGAGCTGGGGCCGTGGATGTGCCATGAAGGACAAGCCAGGTGTCTACACGAGGGTCTCACACTTCCTGACCTGGATCCACACCCACGTTGGGGAAGAGAATGGCCTAACTCTCTGAGGGTTCCTGGGGGCCAGGGGAGGAGAGGGCACCTCCCACGCTGACCAGTCATTTTCACAGTAGGGCCATTAGCACCACCTATGTATATGAAAGAGACTGAGGAAGATAGGCTCTGCAGAGACGGTTTTGCTTGTGCTGCCCGCCAGGGTGAGCGACAATAGCTTTACCCTCAGATACAGGCCTGGGTGCTGGGCGCCCAGATCCCCTCTGGCCAGGATGGAGAGATGGTCCTGACTCAGGATGGTATGGACCAATAGTTTGTCTTATTCTGGACTAAAGCCTCCTGGAGATAAAAATGGCATCTCCTGTACATGGGTGGAAGGAGAGCCAGCTCCCCCAACAGTGGGCATTCATGAGGCCTATTGTTGGGAAATGATTCATTTCCCAATTAGGAAGTGTAACAGAACTGAGGTCTCTTGTGGGAGCTTGGCCAATGTGGGAACAGTGGTTTGGGGAGTAGGGACACTAATAACTCGAGGGAAGAGCTCTGACATTCCATGAATGTATTAAGAGCTATTATATATACATGTATATGTTTGCACATTTGTGCACAGGCTGTGAGTAGTCACTGTGAGTAAGTAAGAACTTGTGTTCCTGTGTCTGACTGTAAGTCTAGATATTTCCCTAAACTGTATGAACTGTGGTGCCACATAGAATGGTCTGTCAGGAGAGGTCATATGTGGGCCTCTTGGGTCTCCCATGTGATGATGCCTGTGAATGTGTCATTCCGGGGCATGGCCCATGACCAGCATTAAAATTTGTTTCACTTTCACTTAGATGTCCCTTTCTTGGCCAGTTATCCCTTCTAATGTTCCAGCCAAGTTCCTCCAATCCTCACTGAGTGGGGTGAGGACCCCTCCTGTACACTGAATATTTAATAAGTCTGCTATTTTTATTTATATCTATTTTTGTAATTTTGAATAAAGATGATTAATAAAATGTGATTTTTCTGAAGACTTTGTTCCTTCTTTACTTGTATGAGTTAGGAAGCATAAAAAGTAGAAAATAAACATGGTGGCACACACCATGTTTGTTTCTTGTGGGGCTGCATCTCTGGACTTCATGGGGCTTTGGGAAGTAGAAGCTAGGAGAGTTCTAGGTCAGGCCCTTCGTACCACATAAGGTGCAAAAAGGTGCCGCAAGCCAGGGGCTCATGGCTTGGTAAGTGGTATGCGGGCTGGATGTCGACTCCCAATTCCCTCCTTAGCCTCATGCTTTGGTGCAGTGCACATCTTATACCACTGTACATGGTGACCCTCTTTAGAATTAGTTTTCACTCTGCCCCCAACAATCCTTGGGCTGACCTCAATCAAGAAGAACACCTGCGTGAGTGGTAATTTCTGATCCAAAACCCAGCTCATCTTTGAATCTGTGGTATTCAGAGAGAGGAAAACATAATTTGCCATTATCTGTGTGTGATGTTGGTGCTGAGTTTGCTCGATTCGTTAATGGAGCTCACGACCAGCCATTGCTATCCCTAATGTCAGGCAACTCAGAATCTGCAGTTGGGTGATATCCTAGTGGAGGTGACCATGTAGTTTGAACCAAACATCAGCTTCTGAAGAAGGGTGTAGAAGGCAGGCCGGGAGATATAGTTAAATGCCAAAATATTGGAGTTTCCAAGCTAAGTTAATGGGTTTTGGCAGTGTTTCTTAACCAAGTCACCTGAGAACCTTTCAAAAATATCTAAATGCCTATGCTCCACCCATAGAAATTGTGATTCAGGTTTGGGCTGGTACCAGGGCTCATGGTTTTAGAAAAGCTCCTCAGGTGTTTCTGATAAGCACCCCTGAGTAAATATCTTTTGGGGACAATTGGCCCGATTATGTGAAGGGCCCAGTAAATTCAAGATATGGTCAGCATGTATTCTCTGCATGAACAATTTTCTGAGTGGCAGTTGGTGGTGCAAAGTCTCCTGAGCTTTCTGTTCAGAGGCTCCCTAGATCATGGGCCCCTGGAGAGCAAGGACCCAGAGTATTCAGCTTTCAATCCCATATTCTAGCATATTGTCTTATTCAGTATGATGCAGTGGTTTCAGAGCATGGATTTTCTTGTCAGGTATCCTGGGCTAGAATTCTGGCTCTAACACTAGCTGTGTGACTTGGGAAAGACTCTTTACCTCTCTGTGCCTCAGTTTCCTCAGCTGTAAAAAGAAATAATATCTACTTCCCACGATTGTTATAAAGATTCATGAGTTCATAAGTCTCTTAGCATAATCCTGACACCTAATAAAGGCACAAAAACAGAAGTTATTATTACAAAACCATGTAAATTCTTGTAGAATTGAATGGGAACCCCCTCTCAACTTCTACCCCAGGACTACTCTGGTGTGTTTTGTGGAATCTGAAACTTGCTACGAAAGAAAAGGCATAATGTGAAGTTAAGGGACCTAGCCCAGACTGAGTTGCTGCTCAGCCTCTGCATTCCCTCCCAAGGGCCAAGAAAGATCTGTTCCAACATGAGCAGCTCCAGCATCAGGGCTCGCAGACACTGAAAACAGGAAATGTGAGCTCCACAGTCAGGGTTGAGCAATGACACTACTAACTCTCATCAGACCATTTCCCAGCCACCACCCTCGACCCCCAGCCAGCTGTTGTCTCTTCTCTGAATTGTAGACCTTACAGAGGGAGATCAGCCACTTCTCCAGAAACCAGTTTCATGGCTCCAGATCTATCTTGTCACTCACTTTAGGGATTGTCCTCTTCTGGTGCTCACCACATACCGGACACTGTGCTAAGTTCTTCACATATCATCTGGTGTAATCCTCATAACAATCTATGAGAAAGGTGCTACTATTAGCTCCATTTTACGAATTTGTATGTCATCCTTGCACAGGGGCCATGCTAATCTTCTGTGTATCATTCCAATTTTAGTATATGTGCTGCTGAAGCAAGCATAACCCCATTTTATAAAAGAGAAAATGGAGGCACGAAGAGATTGAGTAGTTTGCTAAAGGCAATGCAGCTGGTCAGTGCAAAGCCTGGTTCCCAGGCAGCTAGACCTAGGCAGCTGGCTCCCCAGGGCACAGGCCCAGCACTATGACTTACGTACGATGTTTCAGCAGGGCCCAAGGAGAGCAGCCTTCCTTTCAAACTCCCTACTTCAGGGATACTGGGCATCCAGGGTAAGTTTCTCAGAATTTTGACCTTGGCCTGGATTATAGTTTTTTCCTCTTCAAAGATTCCCAGGCCAAGTGAGGAGACCATACTCAGCCACCAGTTTCAACCACCCTTCTCAAGCTAACCTCAGCCTATTTTGCTGAAACCTGGTTTCATTGAAGTGGTTTCCGTTTTCACCAGAACCCCTCCTTCTGAAATATTCTGTGGCCCATTCTATTATCAGGACTCAACTTGATTTCCACTTATGCTCTGCCTTTCTTAAACCAACCCCCCATAATAACCATGCCCCTGCATATACCCCTCCACACTCACCCCTCTGTGTCCACCTTCCTCTCCGGCAGAAAACATTTGAGCCTTCCCTTTGAATCGAATACAGTGAGAGGAGTGGCTGAGGTGTTTTTTAAATAACAGGATATAATTCATATACCATAAAATTCACCCATTTAAAGTGTATAACTCAATGATTTTTAGTATATTCATAGAGTTGTGCAAACTCGCCATAATCAATTTTAGAACATTTTCATCACCTCAAAAAAACAAAACAAAACAAAACCCAAAACCCATACCCATTAGCTGTCACTCCCCTCTTCCCCCCAACCCCCTCAAACTTTAATTTACTTTCAGTCTCTATGAGTTTGGCTATTCTGGACATTTTGTACACATAGAATCATATAATATGTAGTCTTTTGTGATTGACTTCTTTCACTTGCCATAATATTGTTCAGTTTCATCCATATTGTAGCATGTATCAGTACTGTTGCTGAGTTTTAAGTAGCAAATTGGGAGAAAAGATAGCCTAGGCCCCCTTCTGAACTTGTAGTCCTATTGAGGGTCATTCTACAACCTCTAAAAAAAAATTTTTTTAAATACCTATACATCAGGCACTGTTTTAGTTGCTAGGGATACAAGAATAAATAAGACATATTAGCTTATCCTAAAAATAATGTGGGAAAAAAAAGAATAAATAAGACATAACCCTAGTCCTTGAGGAGCTCACAATTTGTGAAAGAGACAGACCATGGCCATAATTCATGTGATAAATGCTATAATAAAACTATGTATAAAGTGCATGGAACAATGATGAGGAAGCAATTAATTCTGCCTTGGGAAGTCATGGAAGACATTACAGAAATGATATTTTACCTGGGCCTTCAAAGATACAAAGAAATTTGCCAAACAAGGAGAAGAAAGGCATTCTAGGCATAAAAAAGATCATAGGCATGAAAAGGCAAGGAGTTCATAAGAAATGATGGATAAATTTCTGTGGTAGAGAAAAGAATTTGGGGGGCAATGAGTAGGTAGAGAGTTTGGGGGCAGGGAGTTGCTGGTGAGATTCAGCTAGTGAGGACCCTTAGGCAGTGTTGATACTCAATAGCAGGCACCAGTACTGCTCAATCACTAAGTAGCTGCTGTCATAAGATCCCTTCCATGTGACATCTGCCACCCAGCTTTTCTCCTCTCCTTCACAATTTAGCAACTATAGGGTTAATACCTGGCAGAGGGCCCCCATCAGGGACCTCTGAGACTCCTACTTCCCCTAGCTGCCTTCAAAGTATTAGTACACCGAAGTCCTGCTAGTTAAATATTTAGAATATCACCTCTTGCCCTCAAGTACTATTTTACAAAATCTAGAAAGTTAATTAAAGTCAAGGAGTCATAGAAAGTTTCTCCTTAACTAAAAATTTCCACCCAATTGTAAAAGTAACCATGAAAGTAAATGTTTCCATAGCATTCCACCGCCATTTTTAAGAGTAGAGTCTTGATGGGCAAATATGGAAGGGAGAAATGACTTCTGTCTCCAAGCAGAAGACAGAGCATGTGCAAAGACAAGGAAGAAGAAGGAAGCATGAGGCACTCAAGGAACTGCAGGTTGTTCAAGTGGATAAGGTATAGGGCCAGCTTTGGAGAGGTGATTTGGCTGGGGGGATGGGCAAGGGCTGGAACCTAAGGGCCTAGAGGAGACTATGGGTAAAGAAAACAAGTTCAGAGACTACTATAACTAGCCAGATAGAAGCTGAAGAAGGTCTGAACTAGGGCAGTGGCCACGGAGTGGAAGGGGAGGGTACAGATATGGGAGCTTTTGTGGAGATAGTATAGACTTGGTGCCTGGCTGGAGGAGAAAGGAGAAGGAGGTATGATTTAGTTTAGCCTTCTGGCTTCAGATAGGTATAATACTGCATAATTTTACAGTAGAGATTCTACCATAAATGATTCCCCTAAAGCCATATCTAGTAGGTATTTGACTAAGCCAGTTACTACTGGTGAACTTTTGGGCCACCCATACCAGCTGATGACCTCGGTGACTCTGTCCACTAAATTGGAGAACTACCCCCTCACGTAATCATCAAGTAGTGATGTCATCCAAACCTTCAGGGGTTTATGCTTGTTCCCTAAACACGCTAGGTTTACTCAGCCCTGTGACTATAGTTCTGACTCCCTAAATCTCCCCTCAGTCCTGTTATCTACTGTCAGTAATTTAATGGATTGGGCTGCAGCATGTATAAGAATATTGGCAGACACTAGATCTAGCTGTTTGCCTTCTGGCTTCCTAGAACTGAGAAGTGACTTCTGGTGTTTGAGTAGGTCATTTGCACTTGGCACATAACCAAGTTCTGCATGCAGGGTGTGAAAATAAAGTGGACTTTGTAAGAACTCTGGCTGGGGGGCTTAATCCCTCCATCTGCCTTTTCTGTGGTCTTTGAATTGCCCTTAATCTCATTCCATCTTATTATAAAGGAAAGGGAATGACTTTCCTCTCTCACCTGGCTCTTCTCATCTTTACTTTGCAGTCTCTTCAGCTCTGTCTCCAGAGTATGCGTATAAGCTGGTATCAAA